TCTCTCTCTCTCTCTCTCTCTCTCTCTCTCTCTCTCTCTCTCTCTCTCTCTCTCTCTATTGTTCTTTCTCCCTTTCTCTGCCTTGCCCTTTCTCCCTCCCTCCCTTCCTCCTTCCCTCCCTCCCTCCCTCGATACCCGGAGGTCGTGACACCGTGGCCACCCTGTGAGTCACGGTGCCATTCCATACCAGTGCCAGCGCGAAAGCTCATACGATGTGGCATTCTTGAATAATCTTGGGGGCGTAGGAGTCACATCTGAGACGATCGTGTGGCGCAGCACAAAGTCATATTAATAGCAGTGATGATGAGACTGGAAATGTGTGGCCTTCGTGAAAGCGGCGAGAACCAGGCGAGACGTTTATAATTATAAATTACCCTCGTCTTGTGATTACGCTTTCGGGGAGTTGCAGTCATTATGATAACACGCTGCAACAACGATGATTATATTTGCAGTCTGATTTGATTGTATTGATTATGATGGGAGGGTTTGATAGAACTGCTGTAGAGAATATTGCATCGATTGTGATGAATGTTTTGATAAAACTGTTGTAGAGAACAGTGAAAGGGGAAATAGAGATAATCATAACAAAAAGGTCAGTAAAGATAATGAACGTATTGCTTTGTTATCTCTAATTCGGCTCTCAGGAACACCAATTATAGTTACTGCAATACAATTACTGTCGTTGGCGTTAACATTAATAAAATAGATCTCGATAAACCGGTGCATACAAATGAATAAAAATAAAGTAAAGGAAACATGCTGTGTATATTAAATCCAATAAGACAAGATTATTTCCCTCACAAATTTTCTCTTCGCTAAGCATCGTACCATAAAAGTAAACCCCCTTCCCACCCACTCACCCAACACCCCCCAAAAATGATATTGATTAAACAAATCGAGGAATAAAAGAGCAAGAGCGAAATATTCCAGTTTTTTACAACTATACCCATTACAGACACGGACGAGATCTGTACGCGGAAATGCTTAATATATCTAAGACGAGGTGTTGAGAGAAACACGTGGCGTCGGAGAGAATGATATAGTGGGTGGTGAAAGATAAGAAAGAGAGAGAGAGAGAGAGAGAGAGAGAGAGAGAGAGAGAGAGAGAGAGAGAGAGAGAGAGAGAGAGAGAGACGGACAGAGGCAGTGGAAGAAAGAAACAGATACAGATAGACAGAAAAAATAGATAGATATATATACGACAGGCAGACAGGTAGATAATTGACAGAGAGAGAGAGAGAGAGAGAGAGAGAGAGAGAGAGAGAGAGAGAGAGAGAGAGAGAGAGAGAGAGAGAGAGAGAGAGAGAGAGAGAGAGAGAGAGAGAGATTGACGGGTTAAGGTGTTCACGACAAAGGGACTCGTGAGGATCTCCAGTTTATACAGTGTAAGAGAGGGAAAGAAAGTTGATGAATAGGGTGGACGAGGAATGAAATAGGTAAAGAAGATAATAAAGGGAAGGTGAGAAATAAAATAGATTAAAGAGATAAAAGGGTACGTGAGGAATTGATAAGCGGGTTTTGGGAAGAGGGAAGAGGATTGCCTTATCTGTAAAGATTGGAAGGGAGAGGGAGAGAGATAAAGGGTGCGGCCGAAAGAGAGAAGAGAGAAGATAAGAAGAGGAACAAGGAGATAAATAAAGTGGATGGAAAATGGAGCAATACGTAATAGGAAGAGAGAATAGGACTGCGGGATTGGCTAATCGGCAAAGATTAGAGGCGAAGGACGAATGCATTAGATATGGAAAGATAGAGACATATCAAAATGAAGTTGAAAAGAAAAGAAACGAGTGAATGAAAAGAAGAATTTTTTTTATAGGAGAAAGGGTGGAGGAGAAGGGATAAGAACAAGTGGGAGAAGAGGGACGCGAACAGCTATTTGAAAGAGAATTCTAAAGGCGAATAACCATAAAATCTAAATGATAAATAAATAGAGAAAATTATTTAAGCGCGAGAAGAAAAGGTGCTAATAGGCAGTTAAACAGACACAAGATAGGTTGGTAAATAGTACGAGAGAGAAAGAGAGGATGACTTGACTAAGGAATATAAAAAGAGATAAAAGAAAGAAAAATGAAAACGTCTCCGTCAGACTGGCAACACATGGCCCTCAAGTCCTTGTAGATAAATATTATTAAATAAGAAGTAAATATAGTGATATTTGAGAGAGAGAGAGAGAGAGAGAGAGAGAGAGAGAAAGAGAAAGAGAGAGAGAGAGAGAGAAAGAGAAAGAGCTTTAGAGACAGATAGATACAGATAGATAGAGGGCGCGTAGACATCCAGATTTACATTTAGATAAACAGACGTTCTGAACGAGGTCGAGACAGAGAGAAAAAGAGAACCAAAAACAGAGAGAAAGAGAGAGAGCCAAAGGCAAACAGACGATGAAGAATAACACAAAGACAGACCAGGACACACACAGAAAAAAAAAGAGAAACAGATAGAAAGCAAGAACACAAAATACAAACCGAGAACTCAACCATTCCCCCTTTTCTATCCCTTCCAG